CCCCCCCCTCCCCTCCCTCCCTCCCAATACCAAAATAAATGTATAAAATTATTTAAATGATTACAAATCAAAAGTAGATCGATAAAAAGTAAATCACTAGAAATAACTATTTTCGGTCAAAGCGAATTTCAGTAGTACTTAGTAATACTAAATGTAAATTTTTTGTAAATATATTATTTCAATTTTGTAAACTGCGCGCTGGATAACGTTTATCGAACTTGAAACGCAATTGCAAACTAAAACTGAAATCAATAATTTCAAATTAGATTGCAATTATCTATTTTAATGATGAAGCTAATAAAAAGCTCTTAAAAAGTTATTTAAAATTATTTAAATATGTAAATTTAGATAATATATTTTTTTATAAACAAACCATCTTTAAGAAAATTCCTAATCAGATTTTTTTTTTAATTGTTACAAATGATCGATAAGTATTTATTAATATGAGAAAAATTTCATGAAATATCGCACTTAATATATTACGATCGCATTAAAAGAATAATAATTCCTGGCCAGTTCCTTTTAGCTAAATTTCTTTTATGATTCATCTTTTCTCTTCTTTTCTCCAACATGAAGAGAAAAGAAAGAAAAATGAACTTTATCAGAAGTTCAGCTAAAAAGGACAGGCTTAATATAATCGAATGATCTCAAAATGCAGATAATTTCCGTTCACGATTTCACGCAACAGGATTTTTTACGACACAAATAGCAAGTCTGTTCGTGTAACTGCTCTAGCCACAAATTGGAAAAAAATTCTCAGTTTATCTAATTTGATAAGCGACGCTACAGTAAGTAATGTCGCAGCAATTAAAGCGAATGACATTAATTTAAAATGAATAATCGTAATTAATTTCATTAAATGAATGATCATAATTCGATGAGATTACATTCAACGGGGGCGTCAAGTTTACCGGCACTGCACGATAGAAAAGTGAGGCTCGTAATGCGATTGGATAACAATTCCACGTATTGGATTTCAGTTCAACAACTTTTGCAGGATTGCGACTGCCGATTTCTTCGTGGCATGATTGAATTTATCCTTAACGCTCACAATCTTTACAAATTATTTTTTTTTATTATAAATCGATAGTTAAATGTAATACGAGTAATTATCAATTATTTAATATTAAAAATTGAAAAAATTTTAACTGGCAAACTGTAATTAAGGAAAGATAAACTCTTAGAAAAATGTACGTAGTCACAATAATGATCTTCTCGTATGCAAAATATTGCGGAAATAATTTGAGAAATTGACATTTATTGAGAAATGGTTGTCGAAACAGTTTCGTACAATTTTCCGATTATATTCTTCAAAAAACTTTGTATCAATGCGTTAGCATATGATGAGTCTTCAAGTTCATTCATTTTTCAGTCTTTTCCGCACCAGTCGTTGACATTCATGGGGAAAGTTCATGCGATGAAATCACGCATAAATTCACCTGCGGTAAGTGCGAGGGCGGATACGTGATAATAGGCATTAACGCGATAACTTCTCTCTAGAGGGAAGACCTTCGTGCGCCAATTTATGTAATAAAAAATATGTATGTGTGCCAGTTAAGTCGTGGCTTCTAATCTGACATCTCTTCTACAGCAACGACTGTCCGCCCCGGCGCATTTACCTTTTTTTTCTTTTCCATCACCTCCCTCGCCACTTACCATTATCATGACTTAACGACTCTTACGATAGATCGCTCCACGTGTATTCGATATTCTTCACCTGTCCTCTTGAACGGTAATCGAATACGACGTCGCCGGACCGATTCATCTCACGCTGCGACGTAGACGATCATAATGCTACGTCGCAAAAAATTAAACAGTTTAAAGAATATATACAGGAAAATCAGCGCAAACTTTTGTCAATTCGTCGATCTCCTCTGTTGAACGCAAGATTCTTTCATTCAATAATTGATCAAATCTTAAGAACTGCAAAATTGCAAATTTTGCAAATTTGTATGAATATTATTAAGTATTAAGATTCATTTCAACCAAAAGTAGGATTCTTTCTCTTATTTGATTTTTATCTAATTTCCACTTATAATTGTTTGTCACATGTCTCCTTGTGAAATGACGTTCTCTTATTACTGTTACTGGTTATTGTTGACAAGTATTTCCATGACACATGCTTGGTAAGACGAAAAGTCGGGAAGCTGGGATATTATTAAGCATCGAGATCCGTTTCGATTAAAAATAGGACTCTTTCTTTT